CGACTTACATGTTAAAATCAGCAGGGGACCATTTAGAAAGGAGTCACCGGAGGTCAGATAGGAGATGGGAGCCCAGGGGAGTAGCAGTGGATGCGGCGGGAAGGGGCTATGCCCTGGGTCTATGTTGCGGGCACAGTCACGGGATTCCTGATGAATTGGAGGTTGCCTGGAGGTGACTCCTACACTGGCCTTGAGGGAAACGTGGGAGGTGCTGAGGGAGAACTGAGGGAACTATAGCTGGGGAAGGAGTGTGAGGCGGGGCCGGGTGAGGCAGGGACTCACTTGGCACCAGCCAATGCAGACAACACTGAGGTTTTGAGCCTGGACTATGAACTGTTTGCTGGGGGGCGGGGGGGGGGGGGCCATTTGTTTTGCTCACCACAGTGCCCCCAGGACGTAGTGCCATGCCTGTCATAAAACAGGCCCCCGAGATATATTTTGAGTACAAACGGATTTGAGAGGAACAATGCCTTCTTCCCGGAGACACGTTACATCAGAAAAGTGCCACGAGGGAACTTGAGACGCAGCCCTGGCCCTTGAGAGGAGGACCCAAGCCGGTACTAGAGTCCCCAGTGATGCTCCGGGGGCGCCCTCCTCCCCCAGTGGACACAGAAATACCTGTATCTCCTGGATGCTCTCCTCCTCTCTGGTGTCCACCTTCTTCTCAACCCCCTCGCCTCGGAGCAAGGCTTCTAGCGTGGTGCTCTCTGAGGTGAACCCGTCCTTCTTCAGGGGCAGCTCCACCTCTGAAACACAAGAACAGAAAAGCAGGGTCAGGCCACTAGAAGCAGGAGGGACAGGAGGGGCAGGAGATGGCCCTTGAGGGTGTGCAGGAACCAGAGCTCCTGGCTAAGGCTCGAGGCCGCCTGTGCTCTCTCCTTCAAGTGGAGCAGGACACTGCAGTTGGGTCCAGCTTTTCTGGGTCCAGCTCACAACCCTGAGGTCGATTCCAACCCGGCCTGCACCCTCAGAGACGGCAGAGGTAGAGCAGAAAGGGCGCCAGTTGGATCAGACAGCCTGGGTCTCAGTCCAGCTTCTGCCACTCTCCAGCCCTGGGACTTTGGGCAAAGCACTCAAGGACCCCAGAGACCTTTCCTGCATCTACAAAGTGGGGACAGCAGTGCCAAGCACCCCACCTGGCCATTTTATGCTCCTTTGCATTTAAGTTCTTTGAAAACTCTAACGCGGTGCATCAATGCCAGCCTCACGTCTTATTATTCTCTCCCTCCAGCCCACCTCTCGTTAGGCAACGCGGTGACCTCCCCTCAGCCACGCTGGCTGCCAGCTCAGGTCTGCTCCATGAAAAGCTATTTCAACCTCAGAGGCTGTTCTTAACTCACCAGGGAAGCGAAGGCCTGCAAAGCCAAGGGAAGAGAAAGAGCAAGCACAGATGCCTACCAGGCCCAGATCCGCAGCTCCGCACACCAGGGCATTTTTTCTGAAGACATCAGGAGTTTGATCAGCTACCTGGGGCTGGAGGTCAGGGGGCCAGCTGAGCAGTGGCAGCCAGAGCCGGCCCTGCCCACGAAAGAGACCAGAAAGAGCTGAATCCCTTCCTCAGTATGTCCCCCAAACTGCTAACTCAAAGGAAGGTTTGTTTCTTTGTTGTTTCATTAAAAACGGAAACCTCAGGTACAAATGATCATATTTGGACTTAATACCAAATATTCCTCCAACCTCTCCTCCGATCCTGCACCTCATGCCCACCTCTGACAATCAGATGTGAGTTCCCTACTCTGTATCAGATAAAATGGGTGCAAGAATATGAGGGAATGGGGCCCTAGAAAACAGGCAGAGGAAATGTATGGGGGGTTGAGAGATTAGTGTAGGGACTCTTCACAGAGGTGTGGGCAGAAGAAGGGAACAAAAGGGAACGGTGAAACAGCCCAGGAGAGTTAACAGTGGGGAGTCATTATCACTGCTATTCCTGGAGGGACAGAGGGGAGTGTTTGTAAGAACCTGGAGGGGGCGCCACAGCAGAGCTCCCGGGCAGGAGCTGTGCTTGCAGCAGAGGAGCCTCCCTCTCTGCTGAGCCCGCAGGTCAGAGGTTCACAGCACCGAGGCATGGGGACACATAGCCCAGCCTCTCTCTCCTTCCGTCCTCATCTTCCTGCCCTGCCCTCCCACCGGCCAGCCTCAACCAGAAGCCAGAGACCAAGGATCCGTGTTGATGCAGTCCACGGAGGTCAACTTCCTGGAGCCCAGGATGGTGTAAAAAGGGACAAAGAGTGGATCTGGGGGAGCAAATGGAAATAACCAGCAAGATCAAGCCCTGCTTCCCCGGGCTCTGTTCTGACTCAAATGGAACTCTACCTACCCCTTCTACTCCTCCACCAAAACCAGATACAGGCTGACCAGTCCACAGGGAAGGGGCACTAAGCAATCCATTGAAGAGAAAGAAATACTTATCCATGGTGACCAGCCCCAGAAGAAAGCGGGAAGAAGGAACAGTATCTAACGTCCCTTGCGAGACAAGGTCTCTGGGGTTTCTCTTACCAATAAAGGCAAGCAGAGGGTCCAACTCCATCAAGAAGCAATGCCACCCAATCAACCACCTCTGAAACTCACCCATCCATCTAGTCATGCAACAAATATTTACCAGGCACTGCCATGTGACCACTGCTGTGCTGGAACTAGGTACACAGGAGGGGAGCCAAACAAAGACAGTCCTGGCCTTTAGGTAGTTTACAATCTAAAGAGGTAGACACTAAACACTAAATCCAAAATAAACATGCAATTACAAACTGTAATAAGGGCTTTAAAGGAACCCCACAGAGTGAAATGTGAAGGAAGAATAGGTGGGGGTCTGTTTAGATCACAGGATCAGGGAAGGCCTGTGTGAAGTTACACTGAAATGGAGTGTCAGAAGAAGTCAACTGTCTGCTTTAATGAGTTCAGAGTGTACAACTTCAGAGCCTGCTCCAATGACATATTATTCTTCCTCCCAAATCAGAAAAGGCTTCCAAAGCCAGGTCTAAAACAATTAAAGTGTGCCGCCTCATGTCCTATCCAAGGTCAAAAGAGAACAGCTGCTCACCATCCCTCAAACTTACAATAATCATTCATATCTATATATTTGAAGTTCATATTTTAGTATCCCCTTAGTCTTCTCAACACTAAATAAACCCTACTTCCAGAATTGTACATTTTGAGCTGAAAAAAAAACCTTACAGATCATGTTTTAATCCTCTCATTTTATAAATGAGTCACTTGAGAGGCTCAGAGAAGTAACTTCATCTAAAGTAACACAGTAGGCCCAACTGGCGTGGCTCAGTAGTTGAGTGTCAACCTATGAACCAGGAAGTCACAGTTCAATCCCCGGTCAGGCACATGCCCCAGGTTGCATGCTCGATCCCCAGTGGGGTTGTGCAGGAGGCAACCAACCAATGATTCTCATCATTGATGTTTCTATCTCTCACCCTCTCCCATCCTGTCTGAAATCAATAAAAATATTTTTTAAATAATAAAATAAAGTAATACAGTAGGGCAAGAATGCAACCAAATATTTTCTAGAGGCCATTAAGATCATGACAAGAGCTCCACTTAATGCATCCTTATTAGTAGTTTGCAGGCCCAGGCTGAGCCCTAATGACCCTAGTGGGTGTTGATATCTGTGTGTATATGCAGGGTGCTTGGCACACAGTAAACATTCAAAACTCGGTAGCTGTCATTGCTACTTAATCCCCACCACCACCCAAGAGGAAAGTACAGTGATCCCATTTTATAGATGCAGACACTGCAGCTGAGGGAGGTGTAGAACTTGCTTCACATCACACAACTGCTAAGGGATAAAGTCCGCCTTAACCCCAATCTGCCTCCAGAACCCATTCACCTAATCTAATTGTACAGACTGCCTTGCCTCTCTTGAAAAGTCTTTCTCCAAACCTTTGCACATTTCCACTGCATTCCTAGGCTCTCTCCATAGTTTTCCTACTTTGAGATAAAAGGCAGATCTCTGCTGAGGTGGAGGGCAGGTTTGTGTCATGGCTCTGGGCTGTTCTAGCTGAACATCCCCATGTGGTGTTCACTCTGTCACCACAGTACTGACCTCATATAGAATTTCTCATCAACTGAACTTCTCCTCCTTCTCCCGCTTACTCCCATGCTAAATATTCCTCCATCCTGCTTTCCTATAATTCAATCTATTTCCTTGGTCTTCTAGTCCTTTACCAGATGGGCACAGCAAAAGAATCAAGAGGGGAAAGAAAACCAAAATGGCAACAATGAAATGAGCTAGAAGGAACCTCCAATAGCATCTGAAGTCCAACCCCTTAATGAGGAAAGTGGACACAGAGAGACTAAGGAGACTTTCCCAGGGTCACAGAGAAATACAGTGGCATCATTCTTGTCTGACTGTCAAGATATTTCATTGGCTCCTAGAAGTTCTGCTTTCAGACAGCCCTGGAGTCAAACCCTAGCCTTGCCATATATTGGCTAGTTACGTAAACCTTAGAGTTTCCATTTCCTTTTGTGTTAAGTGGTTATGGTCATACTATTTCACAGTGTTGGTGTGAGAATTAACAAGTTAATACACCACATATAGAAACTGAAAAGATCCACACACAAAACTAGTGTGAGAAACAGAGTGGAAACTGAGACGTATCAATTCTTGTGCTGGTTTTTCGATTCAAAATTTAAGATTCAAAATTAGATCATATATGTAAAGAGCCTGGGATGTTCTAAGCGCCCTCTAAATGCAACATATTATTATTACAAAAGTTTGAATAATAATGATTTTAATGGTACAGCAGCACTATCCAATAGAAACATAAGGCAAGCCACTTACATCATTTAAACTTTCTAGTAGCCACATTTTAAGAAGTAAAGAGTGGAGATTTGAAGATGGCGGCATAGGTAAATGTCTGTACTGGCTGCCTGCCACAACCACATCAAAATTACAACTAAAATGCAGAACAACCGTCATCCAGAACCGCTGGAAAGCTGGTTGAATGGAAGTCCTACAACTAAAGTAAAGAAGAAAGCACACTGACCCTGGTAGGAAGTGCGGAGGCACGAAACAGGCTGGTGGGCTATTCCGGCCCCCACATGTGCCACTTTTTTAATCAGAAAGGAGATCATCTCTGTGGAGGCCGCCTGGAGGACCAAAGGACCCCAGCCCCACACCAGACCCCCAGCCCACGGTCCCAGAGCTGGGAAAAGAAGTCCCTACAAGCAGTAAGAACTACAGGATGTAAAAACCAGTGCAGATTGGAGCTCAGTGACACAGAGGCTGCTGGAGACGCAGCTGTTCCTCTTAAGAGGCTGGCACCACAAAATAAACTTACAAGGTCCCGCTTCCTCTGAGCTCCAGCACCAGGGCAAGGCTCTGGAGAGCAGAAATATATATGAGGAGGAACTGGATTGTCTGGCATTGGGGCAGGAATTCAGGGCAGCTTTCTCCCAGATGGAGGTGCTCACAGGGGTCATTGTTCCTAAGCTAGAACCTCCCTGGAAGCAGGGCTGATTGGCAGCCATTTCTGTTTGCTCCACCCTGGTGATTTCCTAAAACCTGCCTCAACCAATTTACAACCCCACCCAAGTTGGATGCAGCGGCTTTTGCATATAAATGGCCTGTCCTTGCTCAGTTTAAAAGTCTCTCAAACAAGCTGCAGCTGGGACAGGGAACCCCAAACCTATCAATAAAAGGCCCAAGACCCAGCACTAGGCCCAGCCTGCCTTGTTTCATAGCTGGGCCTCATCTGGGAACTTCCAAAGAGAATACAAAGAGGATACAAAGAGAATCTGC